GGGTCAGGGTGAGTCCCTGCCTGCTGGGGGGGGGGTCTTGCAAACAAATGAGAGAATTTGAGGGACTGGTAAGGGCTGCAAAGATGAAATAGGTAATGTGAGTTCAAAAAAATTTTTTGACTTCCACTGCTGAAGTGTTTAAAAGACAGGGTTTATTAGCAAAATAAATAAATAGATAAATTGATAAGTAAATAAAATAAGGCCATTCTCTGGGCATGGCGTCTAAACCACCAGCAGCATGTCCGTCCTACTGGAGTTTTGCAAACGTTTGTTTGCTTTGTTTTAATTCATTTTTTTTTTTTTGAGAGGAAGGGGTAGAGAGAGAGAAATCTAGATTTGTTGTTCCGCTCACTTATGCATTCGTTGGTTGATTCTTTTTTTAATTTTATATGCTTTTATTGATTTCAGAGAAAAGGAAGGGAGAGGGAGAGGCAGAAATATCAATGATATCTAGAGAATCATGGCTAGGCTCCTGCACCCCCTACTGGGGATGGACTTGTAATGCTGGCTTGTGCACTGATCGGAATCCATCCTCAACCTCCTGGTTCAAGTCCCGGCTCATCCACCCTGCTACACGGGCTGGGCTCCTTGGTTGATTTTTGCTTGTGGCTTTACCAAGGATCCAACCTGCAACCTTGGCGTATGGGGCGAATGCTCTGACCAAATGAGCAACCCGGCCAGGGCTTGCAAGCCTTTTTATACATGAAGTGTGTGTGTGTGTGGGGGGGGGGGTGTAAACTGGTCTGAAAGGATGTACAGGGGGATGGGAGAAGGTGAAACGGGCTAATTGCAAGGAAGAAGTGTCTACTCCTGGGGAAGGACTGGTAGGCCCCACATCCAGCTGCGACAGTGGCCAGAAGCAACCCAAGGAAATCTGCGAAGAAAAGGCATTCAAGCAGAAGCAAAAAGGGGAGCAGAAGAAACTTGAGGAACTAAACGCCAAGGTGGTGAAGGGCCCCCTGGCCACAGGTGGAATTAAGAAATCTGGCAACAAGTGAGCTGTTCCTTGTGCCTGGGGCAATGATGATCTTCATTCCATTCCTGTTTTAACATCTGGATTCTATAACATCTGTCATAACATCTCTTGCCACCTATAGCCAGAATAAAGTGTTGTCTTGGAGCCTGTTGTACACTGAATAAGCTTTTGTGATTGTTTAAGTGTCTGTTCCTGTGGGTTAACTGTGGGCAGCAGATTGGAAGTTCATGTGCAAATAAGCAGAGTCTCCCAGGTTCTGCGGCATCTGACTATTGTCTCTTCGGGATAATCGGAGAAATAAATAACTAGAAATTAATCCTAAATTCCAACAGGTATACAGGAATGTGAGCAGTCTTTTGTCAGAGCTGGCCCACAGTTGTTAACAGGCTAATTTCTGTCTCTCATGTTCTATCAGGTGGTAGAAGGTGCGGGTAGCCTTAGGAAGTCACTAAGTGAGGAGGTGGCCACCAGCCAGCCACAAGTGGCTGTAGAGCTCTTGAAATGTGACCAGTCTAAATTGAGATGTGATGTGTGAAACACACACACTGGAATTCAAAGGTTTAGAATGAAAAGAATGCAGAATATCTCACTGATAACTTTATGTTAATCATGTTATATTGACATTTAAATAAAATGTTATAATTTCATCTGCTTTTTAAAAAATGTTTTTATTGATCTTTAAAGAGAGGGGAAGTGAGAGAGAAACATCATGAGAGAGAAACATCATTGATAGGCTGCCTCCTGCACACCCCCCACTGGGGATCAAGGCCATAGCCCAGGCATGTGCCCTGACCAGGAATCAAACTAGTGACCACTTGGTTCATGGGTCGATGCTCAACCACTGAGTCGCACTGGCTGGGCTCATCTGCTTCTTTACTTCTCTGATGTACGTATGAGGAAATTGTAAATTACCCATGTGGCTCACTTGATAGTTGTGTGGCCAGCACGGGTCTAGACCTGTACATTTACTTAGCAACCATCCTTTTTGCCAACACCATGCTCATTTAATGAGCATTTATTGAGCCAACGGCTAATGCAGTGACCTAGTACAAAGATGAATAAGACATAACCTGGGAATTCAACTAGCCTCATTGCTATTTTACAGGGTGGTTCTGAGGATCGAATGAGTTAATGTCATGTAAAGAAACTAGAGGAAGGTAAGTGGCCAATGTCAGAAGACCTTCTCTCCATGCTATGAAGTTTAGACTTATATACTGACTAGAGGCCCAGTGCACAAAATTAGTGCAGGGGGGGGGGCGAGCGGAAAAAGTATGTCCCTCAGCCCAGCCTGCACCCTCTCTAATCTGGGACCCCTCAAGGGATGTCCAACTGCCCGTTTAGAGATGTCCGACTGCCCAGTGTGAGATCAGGCCTAAATGGGCAGTCAGACATCCCTCTTACAATTCAGGACTGCTGGCTCCCAACCGCTCGCCTGCCTGCCTGCCTGATTGCCACTAACCACTCCCCTGCAGCCTGATCAACACCTAACTGCTCCCCTGCTGGCCCGATTGCCCCCAATTGCCCTCCCCCTGCTGGCCTGGTCCCCCCAAACTGCCCTCCCCCTGCTGGCCTGGTCCTACCCAGCTGCCCTTCCCCTGCTGCGTGGTCCCTCCCCTACTGGCCTGGTCCCCCCCAACGGCCCTCCCCCTGCTGGTCTGGTCCTCTCTTGCTGCCCTCCCACTGTAGGCCTGATTTTCCCCAACTGCCCTCTGCTGCTGGCCATCTTGTGTTGGAATGATGGTCAATTTGCATATTACTCTTTTATTAGATAGGAAGACTTTGGGAAGCCACCTCAGGAATTCGTTAGTGGGCAAGAGAGAGGTGACATGATCCCTTGCCTAGAATGCTTCCCCCCTCATCTAGAGATCTCTGTTTTGTCATTCAACTCTGAGCTTGGCAGTTCTAGTCTTCTCTTCAGTAAGACCTTTCCTGACCTCCCAATCTAAAGAAGCTCCCCAGCCCAACCAGCGTGGCTCAGTGGTTGAGTGTCAACCTATGGACCAGGTCATAGTTCGATTCCTGGGCACATGCCTGGGTTGCAGACTCAATCCTCAGTGTGGGGCGTGCAGGAGGCAGCCAATCAATGTTCCTCTCTCATCGTTGATGTTTCTCTCTCTCTCTCCCCCATTTCTTTTACATGAAAACTACCACTGATTTTTTCATCTTGCTTATTTATGCATTTGTAGGATGCTAGTGTGCGAAAGCAGGAATTTCATTTGCTGTATCCCTAAACTTAAAACAGTGCCTGGCCATGCTGTAGGATATGTGCTTTAGAAATATCCCTGGCAGCAGTTAAGAATGGATTTCTAGAAAAGCAAGACAAGGAATAATGGAAAAGAAACACGACTTAAGTGATTATAATCTCAATTTTTATATTTAGTTTGCAATGGACAATCCAAGATCGATTCTCAGTAGGCTGTTGTATATTCAGATCAAGAGTTGAAGGAAGATGAAGGGGAATATAGGTGTGTAACATCAAAGTACTAGGTGTCAGAAGCTGTGAAAGTTGGTAAGATCACTCAGCAAAAACGAAGAGTGGGAAGCACAGGAGGGAGGTTAAACCTGGGGAATAGCAACGTTAAACATGTCTGAAAACTTGAGACATGCCTGAGAAAACAGACAAATAAGACAAATGACTAATTGGAAAAACTCAAACACCTGCTCATGCTTGGTTTGGTGGCATTTCCGTGCTCCAGGCAAGCAACAGGTTGCTATTTACCCTGAGGTCCAAATCAAATGGCAATTCTGCCTTCACTTTCATCAAATCTACGCTGCCACACAGGGATTTTCCTCTCTCTCCATCCAAGCTTTGTGATGAAAGAATGAGAAGGGCTTTCAAAGGAAAATTCTTAAGACCATTTACACTTTTAACTTTTGTGCCTCAGTCTCGCCCTGGTCCTACCCCTGACCACAGGAAAAAAGATATCTTAGCAGCTTCCAGCCTCTCTCTCTCTTTCTCTCTGCTCCTCAACAAAAGATGTGCCCACAGGTTGCGGACTTCTCTGCCACCACCACCCTGCCTTTTCCACCCATGTGCTGAAGGCTCCTTCGTCATTGAGTCCTGGAATGATAAAGCTGGAAGGGGCAAAACACATTCTCTATCCCTCATTGAATCATGTGTGTCTGCAGTTGGCTGTCTTGTGGAGATACCTAGAAATAAAGCAAATGAAGGCAGCAGAGAAAAATTTGCATTTACCTTTTATTAGTCTCTAATTGAACTTGAAGAAGAAGATACAATTCAACGAATGAAATACAAATACTTGAGCTAACGTCAACACAATTTATTTTATCAAGGTCCAAAGCAATCAGCTAGTTATGGGGTCCAGCACAGTAAAGAAGGCAAGTTGGCTCAGCCCTCAAGGAGCTTACATTCTAATGCAGAAAGCAGACAACCTCGAGTTGGACAGACGCTAAAAATTAACAAAGCAAGGCACAAATTATTTTAAAAACCGGATCTGGGAGGCAAGCATCCAATCTAATCTATAGGACTCCTTATGAAGGTAAACACGCTAATCTCAAGATGCTAGATGTTAACTGAGTCTGTGGTTCTCACCAGTGATAGTTTAGAAACTGATGGGGCCGAAACCGGTTTTGCTCAGTGGATAGAGCGTCGGCCTGAGGACTGAAAGGTCCCAGGTTCGATTCCGGCCAAGGGCGGAGATGTGCAGGAGGAGATGTGCAGGAGGCAGCTGATCGATGTTTCTAATTCTCTCTCTCTCTCTCTCTCTCCCTTCCTCGCTGTAAAAAATCAATAAAATATATTTTAAAAAAAAGAAAAAAGAAATTGATGGGTTTTGGTTTCATAACAACTGGGAATTATTATTTGCACTCAGTGGATGCAGCCAGGGATAACAGATGTCCTGCAGTATATGGGTTAGCCCCACAAAACGAAGAATTATTCAGTATCTATACGACTTTCTAATGTCCGCTGGACATTTATGTAGGACCTACAGGTCGCCTGAGAGAATATATATGTTTTCCTCTTAGACAATCTGTAAT